TTGATTGTATTAACTTGATTCTTTAGATATTGAAAATTAAATAAAGAACATTATGTTAATTTAAGCGTACAGAAACGTTGCTGTTGTTCCAGCAAAGATCTTATTTTAACTTTACCGAGTGCCTAGTAGGTAATTCGCAGATTACCTAGATAATCTGCAGATTACCTAGGTAATTTGAGAAATGAAATAATTTTCGCAGCTTTAACGGATCACCCTAGTTAATCTGCATATTAGCTAGGTAATGTACACATTAACGGATTTCGAGCTTTAGCGGTAACATAGACATACTTTCATTCGATAACTGTCAACTTTTACACCTGGGAGCTAAACATCTGCTAAGTTCTCAGGCTTAATAACGACGCTTTCTCAGCACCTTTCGACCTAGTATTTCCGTTTCAACAATCCAACATGAAAAACAGACAACAAAAAGTGAGGCAGTCGTCACCAGTTCCTCAATCGGACCACTCAAGTTTTCCCTGTGCTAAAATATTTGGATATTTCCTCGCCTTTTTATACCTCCTCGGCTAATAACTAGTTAACTAAGAACTGTGGAAATAAGAACTGTCGTCCAGAACTGTCTTCTTTTGTGTCTAACTGACTTGCAGAAAATCAAGATTTTATACAAGGTAATTATCGCCACGCGCAACTTATGTAAACTCTCTCTCTCGAGAACCGCGGAACTGTAACAGAAATCTTAAATCTAATTTAATGTCTAGACTATATCTATTGTAGCAAAGATTCCAAAAAACTAGCCTAGTTAAAATCGATATCTTTTATATCCTGTATGGCCTATAGTTATCAATTAAACCGTTGTTACGTTAAAGCGTCTTTGAGTAATTCACTTCCGGTGCGCTGTCTCTCTTTCTATCTCGACTCTGTTCGCTCCGTTACGCGACCGCTCACATGCCCGAACGAAACGGTTTCTGTGTCTAGCCGTGAAGACAGTGGTGTCAGTCCTGGCGAAACTTGTCATTGCGATCTTCACCGATGCGATGTCGACCCTTCGGTCACGTGGTGCCGAAGTGTAGGGAGGCCCTTCGGCATTGTCACAAATACAATTACTGTATTTAAAAATAAATTAATTTACTCAAAATCTTACGTAAAGTTACATATATATTGATATGATCTGGTTTCGCGGCGCTACAATCGACAAATGATGTAGTGATTTCCAGTTACAGAGTTTCATCTCTATGTATTACACTATACGGTATGTACTGTACAGTAAGTACAATGCTACGTTTTACTTTTTTAAAAAGCTGTTTCGAATAATCGAATTTCCACTGTATTTTTATTTCGCTATAACTCTGATTTTGTGGGATTTTAGAAAAGGAATGTTATTATTTATTGTACAAAAAATACAACTGGACGTAATTTTCTTACTGATAAAAATTAATTTTTTTTTGTTATTTTGAAACTTGTATTATGATAAAAACTATTAGAAAAATCTTCAAAATAGTTTTTTAAATTAAAAAAAAGACGAGTTTCAATTAATGCATTTTAAGTAAACAATATATTTTATATTTTAACAAGTAATTTAGAATCTTGTATTTAAAATTATTTATTTTTTTCAATTTTACATTAGGATTCCAACAACAATTATGAAAAAATACAATTTAGCAATTCTTAAACAATTTAGATGATTAAAGGTTTTTAATGATTTAAGATTAATTCAGCTAATTAATGATTCAAAGAGATTAAAAGCCAGTTAATTTCTTTCCTTTTAAAACTTTATTTACAGAGTGAATTATTTGAATAAGATTTACTCTGGTTAAGTTGATTGGAGAATAATGAATTCGATGGTATTTGCCTTGTTCAAATATGATTTAACAATTTAAATTTATAAATCTTTACACACTATTAGAATGCATTTATGCTAATCATTTATAATATAGATGTGGTATTTGAACGTTAATGTATTGCAGTAACCTAAATATTTCTGCTTGGAACGGACTGTGCATTAAACAGCGAGTCTTCGTTGCACAGTCCGTTCCAAACCAATTTTCATATTAACAATAACATTTATTAAGATACATAGAATAGATTCAGTCATTTATAGATCCATGAATAGATTATAAATTAAAATAGCATTACACAATGAGAATAACCATCGATTAGCGGTAGCAACACAGTAAAATATTTTTTAAAAAACTCTTTCCTCCCTGTGATAGCTAGATGGGCCTTTTTCTTTCAAGCCCATTATGGATTCGTCAGGCCCAATGGTATTTTAAAGATTCAGAAGGGTTACCGGACCTGAAACAAAGTAATCACTATCATTTCGGACCATGGGGAAAGAGTATTTTGTAGGAATAGTGTAACAATTACAATAGAAACAAAATTCTTTGCTGTAACGGCTACAGAAAGTATATAATTATCTAGATTGTACATAAAGTAATTCTTTATAACAGGAAAAATAGAATTTATATTAACACGTTTTAAATAAAATAAAATGTAAGTTTTGTTATCTAAACATCAGAAATTTAGATGATATACAAAAAGGCTTAGCTGGGATCAGTCTGTCTTTTGAAGTCCTGCATAAGAATAAAGAATTTTATCGCTTTAAGATATTTAAATATTGAATATTTAAATTTAAAAATTGAATATTAGACAATGTTATTTTCCAAATTAATTTCTTTAAGCGGTGAAATTATTCGATGTCGACTTTTCATTAACTTTCGGGTAGGATTTCTTTACGTAGCTTAGAATATTGACGGAGAAACAAGTTTTATAGAAAATTGCAAATTTTGTTTGTGTTTAATATACATATATACCTATACATATACTATACATATATACCTACTATATATACATATATAGTATATACCTACATTATCATATCTCGAATTTTATGAAAAATTTTAACACACAATTTTTAAATTTATAAATATGTTTCATCGTGATATTTAAGAGGTAATTTCGATAACACAACATCGAAGAAAATTCGTATGTAATGATTTTGTTTTTAAATTTTAATATTAATAGTAGAGGACTATATGACCGAGGTGGTTATAGCGTCAGCCTATCCTTTGGGGCACTTGAGATCAAATCCGGGAAAGCAATTTCCAGAAACTTTTCGTGGATTGTCCTGAATATGTCACGCTCCGTTCCTCATCACTTCGCATTCTCATTATGGGTTTAGCAGAACCCATGTCGGGCATAATTTAAAAGATCCTCTTAGTGCCCCAAGGCGGAAAAAGCCAAAAATAAAAAGCAATAAAGGTAAAATTACAAGATGTTTTAAAACTAAAATAATTATTACTTCTTTTGAAAAAGTTTCAAATAATTTAGCATTTTAAAAATTTTATGTAATAAATGAAAAGTTTTTCAAAGTATTCTACGAAAACTTTCTGTTTGTTCATTACTTATTTTTGACATTTTAATTCTAACAATTTTAATGCAAGTGTAACTTAAATTAAAGATGACAGATAGACATGAAAAAGCCGCATTAACGCATAAATATAACCTGTCATGGCCGGGCTTCTTCTTCCTAGAGCTCAATGCTCATTAGTAATATTTTTCTGTATCTGTATAATATCTGTAAAAAAAATTAGACCGGAGACCTCAAACTTCTAAAATTGATCCTGATTAAAATATAAGATGAAACAAATGAGAAAAATGAAATGGATAGTGTGACGTATATAATGTAAGAACGTTAGTTCGTTTTGGTTGTTATCAATCAAATTACGTATAATTACTATACGAATATAAATACGTTGTAAACTAATATTTTTAATCATTCTAACGTAATACAGTAAAAACTTGTTTAAGACGGAATGCGACTGTGTTAAAATTTTGTATAGGGAAAGTCTCTAACCAGTGTTGCCGTTCCTAGTACATTTGTACTTTTCTGGTACATTTTGCCCTTTCCAGTAAATTGAAAGTACATTTAGATTTTTAGTACATTTTCAGTACATTATAATATTTCAAGTACCATTTACAGTACAAATTAATATTTCACGCCTTAACGAAAAAATGAGAAAAAATTAGTTTAATAAAGTCTCACTAGTGTCACTGCTTGCTAATTTAAATTATCCAATCACAACATACAAATGGTGTGTGTCCGTCGACGTCAGCAACATAGATAGTTGCACGTGTAAACGGTCTTGACTCAGTGGTCTTCTTTCACACGTTCAGTTGTCTGCACATTCTCATCAGGACCTTGACAAAATTTTTCATGCCACGTGGTCCAAACAATTCAACTCCGTCAAACAAAAATAATGGACAGGTAAGGAAATCAATGATTTTAAACTTTTGTCGTCAATAATATCAAAATATCCGTTAAGTCAGAAACAAATTATTACAGAAAATAGTTTTGAAATTGTACGAGTATAAATAATATAAATACTTTTATATTATTTTCTACCACTATAATTTAATTCTTAAATTATGAACTTCAATTTTAGTAATCGTAGTAAAAGAAATAAGGGTTAATGTTACGTATGGTTCCAAAATGGCCGCGCTTCCGACTGTTCCAAGGTCTATATAAGAAGGTCAGGACACGCGTGATCTACTTCTTGAGCTGCCATTTTGGGGTTTTTTGAGTTGCATGTTTTAAGCAAACTTGTACGAGCAGTCAGTTTTATATGACATTAATTAAACTAAAATTGCATAAATCCTGTAATTTCCAGTCAAAAATATAATAATAATTTCGGATGATTATGCAACCCCAATTTTATGTAACGTTTTCATCAAATAGTTTAAAAGAAACAAGCATCCTTATCTTTTGCTGTCATGATTGAAATTAATTAAATAGGTACTAAAACTGATGCAATTACGTATATACCACTTCGTAAAGTGATGCAATAACATCAAAAAAATTTAAAGTATAATAAAGAATAAAATAATATAATATAACAAATTTATAATTATTTTTTTAAAGCACGATTGGTTATAAAATTAAGATGAAATTCAATAGTATTATTAATAAATGTTGTCAATGTAATGCTCATTTTATAATAAGTAATAGATGTGTAGATATATTTTTAATTTTAAATAGCTTTCAAAATATTCCAAAAATAAGATTTAAAATTAAATTATTTGACAATAAACTATATATATAGGCTATATATATATATAAATTACGTGCCTATATATATAGGCACGTAAACAAAGTATTCATAGAACTAGTACATTTTGAAAGAAAATAGTACATTTTTTGAAGGCGCTTCAGTACGTTTTGAAATTTTATTGCGGCAACACTGTCTCTAACTCTGGTAATTCTTCATTTTTAATACCAAAAGTTCCTATTGTCTATTCCTAGTATTATTATGTTTTTACTTATCTGTTTTTCTATATCAGCGATTCTCAATTTTTTTTTGGACTTGTGTACCCCTTGGCAGCCAGCCCATTTTTGCTAGGTTTTATTTCGCACGTTCGTAAAATAGTGACGTTTAGGTCAATTATACTGCGCTGTAAAATTACAAGTAAAAAAAAGTTTTGTTTAAATCGAAAAGCATTCAATATAATAATTATATTTTTATTTAAAATTAAGCATCGAGTGCCGTACATCGCTAAAGGTCTCAACGCAAAATCTGAATACATACATTCGCCATTACTAATTTTTTTTCACGTACCCCTAAATCACCAAGTACTGTGCTGTACGTACCACCGGTTGGGAATCGCTGTTCTATATAAAGCAATAAAACTGCATATATTATTTTTATTCGCATTTTATATGTAAATTTTCATTTTTGGGCTGCAATTTGAAAAAATTCTAGTCCTATAAATTTTCACTGTTGTCCGCTCGTCCCACAAATTTTATTAAAAAACAAAAGAAGCCAAATTATATTACAAATAGCATTATTTTATTTTACTGATAGTTAATTCTAAATTTATATTTTATTTCGATTTGATATTCTTTACATTATTAACATTTTTAAAATCTCTTTTCCCTTTGTGATTACTAAAAAGGGCCTTTTTTTTCCAAATCTATCATAGGTTCTATCGCACCCACAATGGGAACGGCCGAGCGATGACGAATGGGGTCTCGACATATCCAAAACGAACCACCCACGGAAACTTCCTGGAGTTCTCCACATTAGATTTGACCACGGATTTCCAGAGCGGCAGGTTGACTCCTTAATGGCCTCGCCCACCGGCTGGCGATATATTAATAAAAGATGATAATTAATTACTTTGTGTTTTTGCAAATATTTTGTAGCATTTGCCGCAGGTTTGCGCAACTTTAAGATAAGTGGACATACAAAACAACGCCTTTTAAATGTTTTGTTTAGATGCGTTGTGACAAGCTCAAAGAAACTTCCTCTTTGAGTCTAAATCCACTACACATCGTAGCCTAAAGGCCATTTTTCCGCAGTTAAATATTATGCTTTTTATTTTCTATATGAGGGCCGATAAACTCACATTCTAGTTTTTTCAAAGAAAAAAGAAAAAAAAAAACAAATTTGCATGACTCTTAAATGAATAACAAGGGTCTTTTTGTCCCGTCTAAGAGGTAACCAGACAAATTATGGCTTACATCTTTTAACTAAGACCAGATTATGTTCAAAACATTTTTTATATACATAAAAACAAATGAATATACATTAAAATAAAACATGCAAAGCGGCACTAGAAACAACTTTTACACTGCATTATTAAGATATCAACATACTGTTATGAGGAATTTGAGATCGAATCCAGGCAAATTTTTGTAGGCAGTGAATTGGCCCTGCTACGTCGTGCCTGTTTCTCATCACTCGGCCACTCCCATTGTGGGCACCCAAATGAATATGCAAGAAAGGATCGCTTAGTTCTCACAGGGCGGAAAGAAGAAGAAGAATGATTATTAGATTTCATGCTAAATATTACAAGTTATTTAGCAAAAAAAAAAAATTTGCACCAATTTCACGCTGATGTACTCTAAATTTCAGTGTGAAATTTGAAGATTCAGTTAATTTTCCGTCATGCATTCTCAATCATTTTTTATTCATAAATTAAAAAAATATTATATATTTAAAATATATAAAAATTAAATTAATTCATAAATGAAATAAAATTATATGATTTATTAATTATGAAATATTTAAACTTAAATTAGGAATATTTTTAAAAATTTGTATGGACTGGCAACATTTATTAACAAATAAGATGGCGCTGCCCAGGAGTCAATACTTGAAAATAAATAAGTATATTATTATTCGATTTCTAACTACGACAATTCCGAGTTATGATTCGAATCAGATTAGTAAACAGGGGAGAATTATGCAAAAGCTTCTGTCTAGAGGAAATCAAAGGCATGTTAATGTCTTTTAATTTAAACAGACAACTCAACCTGTCTTTAGCAGTAAAGCCATGTGCACATTAATTTATTTTTGCAATAGATTCTTTTTCATATGTAAATTTACTATAAAAATTAATATAATGCTCAAATTATAACAGTGTTTATAAATATTACAATGCAAATATCTGCTTATATTAATATTTAATAGTATGAAAAAAAATGTTTCTTAAAATATATTCCTATAATAAATTAAAACAGCTGAGATTTTTTTAAATTTTGCCTTTTTAAGTGATTAATGTATTTGGTATGTGTTAAAGGAAAATGTTTTGAGTCTGATTGCATAATTTATATTTTATTTATAATTGGTAATAATTAAAACGTTAAATTGTAATAGTAAACTTGCACATATCTTCTAAATTATTATTATTTCTCTTAAAATTATACCAATATTTTTGTTTATTTTAGGAAAGGAACATTTTCACCAGCAATGGTAAGCAATTATACTGAAAATTTAATTTTATAATAAATTATTAATAATTATAAAATAAATTCTTTACTTGCTGTGCAGTACGCGACCTCCACATGGCAAGCGGAGGTTGTGGATTCGAGCCCCATCCTGGGCCTATTCTTTATTATTTGTTTTATAATTAATTGTTTATTGAGGTTATAAAATGAACAAAATATATTTTTAATAGATTTTCAATCACAAAACGTTATAAAAAAATTCAATTTGGAAATATTTATTATTTATTTTAAAAACTAGTATATTTCATGAAATTAATATGCATCCACTAGCCATCAGATTGAACATTATTGATTATATTTTAAATTAATAATTACGAGTTGTAAGCTTCTTACCTCTAATGAATAACATAATTATCTCAAACAACCAATTGGTGGAGATATAGCCAACAATAGTGAATATAATGAAACCTTGGTTTTCGTCGATAATCCATCCAAAACAATCGGCAAAATCCGAAACCGACAAAAACTGAGGCAATTATTTCCATATAAATCAATGTAAATCGAATTAATTTGTTCTAGACACTCCAAAATACATACCAAAAACACATTTTATAGATAACAAATATTGTGTTTAACACTAAAAATAATAAGAATTAACATAAAATGAATATAAAAAACTAATGTAAAGAATAAATGAACATTTAACATGGCATTCGAAGGGCTGTTGGCTCTGGAAACTTTCTTTGATTCCATGATGGACCTAAAAGTTTCAAAAGGAAAGCAATGGAATTGTTTGGTTAGATGTGCAGGATAATGCTCACATGATGAGAAACAGCACCATACTGAGCAGAAAATGTGTGGGTTGCCCTATGTTTTCACAAAATTAGCAAGAGATCATGTGCATGCCAACAAAATGAACTGAGGCAACTGATGAAAACCAAGACAAATTTTTCATGAAAACATCAATGAAAACTGAAACCAAAACTGAAGTCAATGAAAACTGAGGTATTACTGTAATAATAATGACATTTTAAAAAAGAAGTATATAGTGTATATGTTTAATTGCAGTTGTAACCTTAATCATACATATATTGGTGAAACTGACTGTACCCTTGAACATGTAAGAGCAATTAAATATAATTGTTAGTTCAGAATAGTTAGGCACTGCAATTTCAAAATGTATGAAATCATAAAAGAGACAATTATAATATTAAAAATAGAAACAAAACCTATTGAAAGACAGTATTATGAACATTTTAAAATTATGAATGTTTACAAAAGTTATGGAATTAATGACAGTTTAGGAAGAAAAGTGTGTGAATCTTGCTATCAATTCTCACCAAAGGGAGTTGTTAACTAATACTATAGACCCATTTAGTATACATAATCTACATAATACACATAATATGCATAATCTACTGACAGTTCACATAGACAATTCATCTATTGTTGAATTGTTCTATGTGAACTGTCAGTAGATTATATAAAAGAATTTGTAGCCAGATGGCTATACACAGTTATCAATGTATGTCCAAGTAACCTTTAGAAATTAAGTTAAAATATTGAAGGGTTTGTTTTATCTTTTGTAATTTTTTATGTATTAAGTTAAAATTGAATGCTAAGTATAAGTTTTTGCAATTGTTGTAGATATAGGTATTTGTGTAATATTGGCTGAAGAGAGTCTAGTGACGATTGAAATGCATCCCACAAATAAAATTAGTCTTTTATTGATGTGATCTCAATTTTCTAATGCCCCAATACAGTTCGATTAGCCTTGTATATCTCCACTAATTGCTAGTTTGAGATAATTATGTAATAATTAGGATAATTTGTCAAAAAATTGAACACATTACCACTTTTAGGTAGATATGATTAAATAATTTAGATTAATCAATTAAGAATGCTATAAGAAATTGTACAGATAGCTAAAAAATCAATATGTAAATACTATCTCCCATAACTAAAATTCTTACACATTTCAATATATTTTCATGATTAACTTTCCAATTTGAATTTTGTTAACTTATAGTACATAATCATTATAGTTATTTATTTTCATGTCAGAATGGAATATATCAATGGTTCCCAATTAGTGGTACGCGTACCCCCAGGGGTACGCAAAATTACATGAAGGGCATACACATGGCAATCTAAAATTGGTCGATTTAAAATTTAAATACATGAGATGAAGCAATCAAAAAAATAATGGGTAGACCATCAAAAATTAGGCATTTTACAACACGATGTTGAATGCACAAATTTGTTTATTTATAACTAAAAATATTCTTGAAATTTCGTTAAAAAAATGCATTTTTGACAATACCTAAATGAAATTCTTATGCAAGAAACAAAAATTGTACAATTAACACAAATTGTGTTAATTGTACAATTATCGTTATTATCATGACAGTGAAGTGGCAATTAAATATTTACTATCATTTTGCACAACATACCTCTGCGAGAGCGGATTTTCGGCCATGACAAACACGAAAACTAAACATCATCACCGACTTCAACTCGAAGATGACTCGAGACTGAAGCTGACCAAAAAGCAACCAGATTTTACAAAGTTGTGCAAAGAAAATTGTGCACATTTGTCACATTAAAATTAAATAACCTTATGTTATTTTCATTATTATTAGAATTGTATTTTAAAGGTAATAAATGTAAAAAAACTTATTCTATTAAACTCTTCTAACTATCTGTCTACCCACAGCTGAATTTTCTCGTGGGAGTAAGATATTTTCTTGCAGTAAAATGTAGCCTATGTCCATCTCCAATATGTAAGCTATCTCTGTGCCAAATTTTATTAAAACCTGTTCAGCGGTTTAGACATGAAAAGGTAACAGACAGATAGACAGAATTACCTTCAAATTTATAATATTAGTATGGATTAATATGAATTTCTGCTATAAGGGGTATACGAGTTTGAGCTCTTTCTTGAAGTGGTATGTAGGAAAAACTAATTGGGAACCACTGGAATATATCATTTGCAAAATGGGCATTCTAATGTTTCTATAATTTGTGGAATATAAAATTTGAGATTTGATTTTATCAATGCTTTTTCTAGAAAGTACTGAAATGAAACTTTGATTCAGACATCACATTTTGGTAATTTACATGCAAAATCAATTGTATTATTGAGGAAAATTATATTAGATTGCAGAATAAATATAAAATTTATTGTTATTAGTTAAAATGTTTTTATTTCCAGACCAATAAACCAGTGAATGGCCTTATAAACACTAAAAGAATAGCAGCTTTAAATAATCTATTTATAGAACACATTACAGATGTTATGTCTACTGGAGAAATTGGTTCAAATTTAAGAGGTTATGATATTGAAATAACTTATGTAAGTATTAAACTATATTTAAATTATTTTTTCTTTATTTATTTATAATGAGCAATTACTAAATTACTACATACTACAAAAATATGTAATAAAAACATAAAACAAGAGATTGCTAATTTAAATCTCTCACTCTATATATATATATATATATAAATGAGTGTGTTTGTTTGCTATCCACTCTTAAGTTGTTTGATCAATTGCTACGAAACTCTACAGTTATGTAAAACATACTTCTAACTTAAATAATGTTGTACATACAATAATGATATAGTGGGAAGTAGACACTCTATATCATTACTTCAACAATAGCACATGGTACTCACCTGTATGGAGTCAAAAGTGTTACACTGTGAAAACTATATAAATATTTAATTTTCCACATGTAACAACTGATTTCTTTCTGAATGATACTTTTGTAATTCTAATAAGTGCCTACCAGTAGATGAGAGAATAAAACTACCAAATACTAATGGTTGTGGGTTCAAGCATCACCAACAGGTTGACCAGGTGGACTTTTCTGGGTTTTCTTCATGTTAGTAATACCTAAATAGGGACCAGTTTTCCATAAAAGCCCTCCTGGGAGGCATCCTCTTCAGTAGATTGCCCATTTGTTGCATTGCCGTAACCAAATAAACAAAACTAATTCTAATAATTTTTCTATAAACTTGCTATTTATGAGGACATACTTCCTAGGTAGCTTATAGGCTCTCTGAAAATGTTCTTAAAATGGATTTTACCACAAAAACTTTTGAAATTTACAATTAATAATGCCTGGTGTAATAATTACTGTGATGTATTTTATAAACCTGCCACTTGAAAATACGTTTAATATTTTATCATCACTTAAAAGCAATTATTCTCTACAGCACTTAAAAACAATTTAAACAAGTCTTATGTGAAGTCTTTTAGGACATTAAGGTTAGCAACTTCAATCACTTGTGGGGCTTTCATAATCTATCCAATATGGATCACTTTTCAAAATACAGGTATCCCTTGTATAACATGGCAGTTATGTTCCAAAAAAGCATCATGTTATGCAAATCCGTGCTATACGAAATAAAGGACTAATGCAAAACTTAGAGTTACATTCCAGAAGTTAACAAAAGTATACTATTCTTTTTAATTACTAAGAGAAATGTTCATTAAAGTAGTCAATAATTTATTTTTAATCAATAATTAACTTTTTTACAATCACAATTAAAAGTGCTATATTACATGATAATATTAATTTTAGTTAAACAAGAGGATTTTCTTTTTACAAATTATTGTCATCTTTTTAGCATTTTTGTTAATCTTGATCAGAAATATCAGCAACATCTTCATTTTTTTTAAGTTTTATCATAAAAATCTTTTATGTATGACAAAATAAAAAGTAAAAATATGTTATTAAATTAATTAATCAAAAATTTGTTTAGTGGTTTACATTAGTTCAATCAAGGACTGAGCAATTTATTTTTCAAAATTTGTGTAAAAATACCAAATTGTTCAAGTTGGGAATAGTTCAAGTACAGAGATATTGCTGTATTTTGTTCATCATTTTTATGAATGATTACTTGCCTATGGTTTAAAAAAGTTTAATAACTCTTATCTAAAATGTTTAAATAAATTTTACTAAATATGAAAATTAATGTATAAAAACAAAAGTCAGTGACAGTCTTTAGGGGCTAAAGTCTGAAAGCAACAACAATGATACCTGGTTGGTAGGAAAGCTAGGATAAGGAGGAAACAAATTGCACTATCAGTTTTCATTAAAGTAAACCTGATGAAAGGCCCAAAATCAATTGAAAATTTCAATATTCTAAAATCCATAGGCAAATTTGAGACAGCATGCATACTTATTTGAATAAAATAAATATCAAATAATGGAGTTTACTTTTAAAAGTTGTGAAATTTTTTAGAAGATTTCTCAAATTTTGAACCATATTAGAGTTAACTGGAAACTGTGTTTTATGGGGATATCCCGAGTTTTCAAATTGTGTTGTAGAAATGTTGTGTTGTGTGAAGGATACCTGTATTAATAGTAGACCAGTATTAATTAGAAGTCATTGACCATCTTCTGTTTCAAGAGGAAGTCAATGACTACTTTTGTTGAATTAACTTCAACCCCTTCCACAACACTCCCTTCTATCTGTAAAAAAATGGTATGGTGGCATTCAAATAGGAAAATTACATAATACAAAGTTACCAGTAGGCAAAAAATATGTTTTAAGGTGTTTTTGAGGGTGCTGAGTTTAAATATTTGGTCTATTTTTTGTGAAATTTGATTTATTGACAAATTATCATTTGATATTTGGCTGTGATGATACAGGATATTAGAGCTAACATTAGAAATAATATGTTATTTTAAAAAATTTAAGATGGTGTCTACTTGACTACTGAAATTGTGACAGTACATCCAAGTATTGTGATAAATATGATAATGGTAGGCTAAAATAACCAAACTCTTTATATGGTTTTTGTTTTAATGTTTGTTGTTCTTATTTTTTTTGCTTGTGCAATGCTTATCTTGTAATTATTAAATATATTATTATTTAAATTACCAAATATTATTTAAACATTAATTATTGCAATATTTTTTCCACTAAGAGATGACTTGTATGTAGCAAAAATGATCAACAACTTTTACATTTTGAAAATGTTGGAAACATTTGGAACATCAAATAAATACATTCAGATTATAAAATTAATTGAAATACTTAAAATTTGTCAAAATATATATTAAATTTACACTATTTGAATACTGGAACTTGTAACTAAAGAAACATTAACGTTTTAGACCTAATATGATAGGCCATCTTCAGATGCAAGTATTCTTGAACGTATTTAACTTAATATTTAAACATCAGAACGATCAAATACTTTTACGTTTAAATCAAAATACTGGATAAAATAACAAATAAATAATAAAATAAAACAAATATACTAAACGAACTAATAAAATAACAATGTAAATAATGTATTAAAATAAAAAATAACATATGTAAAATAAAAATAAAATAAAATAAATACACAAAAAAAAATGCCACTAAGTGTAAGAGCAGGTGCAGGCTAAGAATTTTTGCATTTTAGTTTTTATTTTATGTAGAACTTCCATGAGGAAGCTAGTCCCCCTGCATCCCTGGCATTAATACAACCATCTTTTAATTTACTTTTATATATTTCAATTTTTTCTTCATGCATTGCCAATGATGGAGAACTCATAGCCTGAGGATAGTTACTTCATTCCATTTAACCACAGAGTCCTCTGCTTGTGCCATACAGGATAATACTGTGTTTCAGTGCCCTTTGTTAATATTGTATCATGAAGAAAAAATTGAAATCAACCAGGTGTCATTGTTGCTTTCAGACTTTAGTTCTTAAGACTGTCACTGTGTTTTCTTTTTATAGATTAATCTTCATATTTAGTAAAGTTTATTTAAACATTTTTAGGTAAGTGTTATTAAACTTTTTTTTAATTGTAGTTAAGCAATCATCTGTAAAATGACAAAATATGGTGGTATCTTGGTACTCAAACAATTCGGTATTGAAACAAAATTCTGAAAAAAATCGCTTGGTACTCAACTGAACAAACACAACCCGCTAGAACAAATTTTCGATTAATAACATATTTTTATTTTGTCATCCATAAAAATTTTTTATGATAGAAATAAAAATATGAAAATGTTTCTGATACTTCTAATCAAGATTAACAAAAAAAGCTGAGATGATGATGATGATACTTTGTAAAAAGAAAATGCCCTTGTTTAACTAAAATTAAGTAATATTAATGTGTCACACAATACTTTTAATTGTGATTGTTAATTGTTGATTATAAATAAATTATCGATTGCTTTAATAAATATATTTCTCTTAGTAACAAAAAAGAATAGTATACTCTTGCTAACTTTTGGAATGTAACCTTATGTTGTTTTGTATTAGTCCTTTATTTCGTATAGCACGGATTTCACTTCTTTGGAATGTAACTACCATGTTATACAAGGGATACCTGTAATAACATGTCTAGTTACAATAAATAAATAAAATATAATAAAAATATAATTACATATTTTTCTTATATTTTAAATTCATTCTCAGTCTATCCAAACAATCCCAACCAATTTCTTCAAATAACACTAAAATAATGCAAACTTGTTTTTAATATCAATGTGTGACTTTAGTATGATATTAAATATTATAAACTTCAATTATCTTACTAGCAAACACTTAATGAATTTTGTTTGTTTTATATCTCTACTAGAAATTGTGTAAGAATGCTATTTTTTTTTTTAATTATGCCATATTGAACATCATGATGATACTATATTTTATATTAAAATGCTGTTGCATAAAAGCAGAGTAACAATGAAAATAAACAAAGGAGGTAGTGAACTTACTGTAATAAACTATGAAAAATTAGCTTGTACGAAAGCACTGAAAGTTTGTGATAAAAAAAATAACTAAGCTACACAACTGTGATAGAGAGAGCCCTACTGAAACAAACAAGAGATACTGTAAATAGAATCACTACTACTTACTTTTACTAGTGTGACTTTCAAATTTTTCTAAAATACTGTATTCTTTGAATAAATCCATCATATTGGGATTATTTGATTTGAATATTGCAATGGATACTGATAAAACACGATTCATTATAGTGGGAATTCAGATACCATAGTATGGCCAAATTTCAATGGTTTTTTTAATTGTACATTAGTTCTGTGTTGATGTATTGATACATATACACAGGAGCATTCAAAAATTTCTTGGAAAATGTAAATAAAAAGACAACAAATTGAATTTAGCACTTTATTTTTTAACATATGTTCCTTATAACTTAAAACATTTTTCTGTACAGTCACCATCCTTCTAAGCCTTTCCAGTGCTCTTTGATTATTGTCACTGCACTACAAAACATTTAACATCTATTGAATGCCAGCAAATGATAAATATTTATACATAAATATATGAACTTCCTTCATATATTTATGTATAAATATTTACCATATTTTTTGCTTTATAAGATGTTGTATTGTACAGTACATGTTACATTTTACATGTTGATTTTTTGGGAAAAATATTCTTCATAGTATAAGTTACATTCAGCTTATAGGATACATCCTAATTACAAATTGCATCTTAAAAGATGAAAAATATGATAATTTTATCAATTGTTTACAAATTAAACTTTTAAAGCATTACTAATAATTTATAAATGTAGAGTAATATTAAATAATCTAACTAAATATTTAATTATTTATAACTTAGGTTAAAGTTTCTTCTGACTTTTCGACAGCAAATGTGTATTGGACATTGCCATCTTCTAACTTTAATTATATTGATAAGGTGGCAGAATTATTAGAAATAAATGCTAAAAGAATTAGGTAACTTAGTAATATTAAAGTTATTTATTATCTAAATTGATAATTTGTGTTATAAATTTAATATATTTGATTAATATTAAATTTTTATAGAGCAGAAATCTGTCGAATGAATCTTCTAGGGATAGTCCCACACATACAGTTTGTTAAAGATAACAATGCAACTAAAATTGCAGAACTGGAAAGACTTTTATCAATTGCAGATTTTGGTCCTGATTATGTTCCAGTAAACAGCAGTAAATTATTGATTGAGAAACAAAATCTTCAATATAAAATTCACGAAGATGTAAGTTATTTTGCAGTTAAATTGATGATTTGTTTTATTTCTAATTAATGTGACCTATTGATTGTAATTGTTGACCTGTCCAAATAGCAACATTATGAAATTTGATATAAGACATGCATTGGAATATAAATTAAATTAATTCGTTCATAATAGTAAAAAATAGTACAGTAAGAAAATACAGTACTATTATTTAATATTCTGATTAGTATATTTTATATTTAAACAATATATAGATTTACTGAAGAACCATTATATATCTTTCTAATTTTTCAGTATATATCTATATTGCATTAAAATTAGAATTTTTTTATTTTATACAAAAATTTAGATTTCATAATAATTTGATTCCTTTGTACATATGTAGTAATTTTAACATTTTAGATACATTATTCTGATTTACTTAATGTTTTAAACAATTGGAACAATGAATCTGCTATGAATACTCTAAATTTAAAATTACTAATTACAAAAAACCACAAAAAAATAAAAAAAACCAGCAGAAAAAAGGGGGTGGTACTAACATTTTCGCCCATGTTGAATAGTATAACAGATCCTGCAGGTGTTGAAACAACAGAGAATTGCCATACATGTGTGAGAGGGGAGGTAATGTAAGAAGGGGAGAGGAAAGTAAGTTTACAGTTTGAAAAATGACTTCCACATGGTGGGGAGAAAACATCACAAAAGTTATTGGTAGTATTTTATGGGTGGTCTTATAAATTTCAGTTTGTTCTAGATGTCTGAGAAATTGTTGCCTGGTGGAGCTGTGTATGAGGTGTGCATGGTCGAAATCCACATCTATCTTGGAGTCAGAGGCAAAGATAGCTAAGATAGTGTTGGCCGATTCTTTTAGGATGGAATTCCAATGTTCTTTGAGGAGGGTGTTTAAAGGGCATGCTTTAGCACTTACATATTCCAAATTGCAGTTGGTTCTGTGATGCTCATTCAACATGGGTGAAAATGTTAGCACTATCCTTTTTTTTTCTGCTGGTTTTTTTGGTTTTGTATCAAGTTTACCAAGTTTTGAGTAGTTGTGTTTTACTAATTATTATTAAAATTTCTTTCCTCATTTTCTTGCATATTAATTAATTTAAAGTGAATTACAGTATATTTAAATAAAACAGTTATTGGTAATTAAAATTACTCATTATTTTATGATTTAATTAAATAATTTTACAAAATTAAATGTAGATATTAAAAAATCATTTTAATAGAAAAAATTATTTGTATTACTAAATTATTAATTTTGTCCTTATTTCTCTTCATATTAGCAAGTTTCTACTAACTTTTGTTAAATTATTTTATTCAAATGCTATATTTACTTGTCTTTGGAATATTTTATTTAATTTTAAATGATATGAATACATTTTTTTTTTTTTTGCAATATTTCATTATTTTTATGAATATTTGACAGTAAAAAATCAATTTAATAACAATTTATAAGTGGTTATTATTTAATTAATGAGCTTTTTCTATAAAGAAGTACAGTTAAGTCTCCATGTTCACAGAATATGTGAACATGTTGTAAATTTGTAAAGTTTAGCATGCTAAAACTTTGGTTACTGCTTACTGGATTCAGTCTAAGTGATAATGAAGCACATGCAGCTTCATCTGTGATGTGAAGCACACAAAAAAAATCATCCTACCTAGTATCATCTTGGTAGGTAGGACAACTTTTTTGTGTGTTGTTTACATCTGATGAATATCTCAATGTATGTCTTATTCTTAAATATATAATAAAATTTTGATACAGTATTTTTGGAAATATGTGTCTAAAATGTTATTCATTATTGTGAAACACAAACTATTTAAACACAGTTAGGCCAGGCACATACGCATGTAAAGTTGTGTGGCAGAAAACTGAATCAGAAATCAGCTTTCAGTTCAGTTTCTGTTTTACACTTTTACGCTAGAACACACATATGATAAATTCTGGACGAATAGGAAATGCCACTGCCACTAACAGTGCTACATTTTATTAATTTTTTTCTCTCATATATCTATCCCTTTGTACTATATTTTATTTTTTTCTGCTTCCTCTGCTATAATATAGAAAATTTAAATTAATAGACTTGTATTTTGAATTCAAATAAAGAACGTTTGATCTAAATACTAGGCCTGTATATCAATTCTACTAGACCTACCTGTTACTTGAAATTTAGCACCTATTGCCATCCATAAACATTGTTTAAATACAGTGTCTTTATATATGACACTGCTGTGGTCGAACAGATCCAATAAACTCCTCTATTTCATTTATTTCATTTTTTTGAGACCGTCACAATTGTAGGGTTAACCCTCATTGCCGCTATTGTCAGAATAAAAATGTGTCTACTTTGACGTCACAGAAAAGACTTCTCTTTATTGGAGGAATTTTGGCATAAAAATTTTTCAGCATAAGAAGTAGAGACACGCTCTACTCTATTTTCAGTTCTGTTTCAGCCAAAATTTCAGAAAAATTTTTACGTTTTCTATTTTATGCTAGATTTTAAATTGAATTTTATGCACGCGTGTTCCTGGCCTTAAGCAATTTTCTGCAAATTTTAAACAGCTATAGAAACCTGATGGTAATATGAGCTGTGTGTAATATCTTTGACTGCAATCATTCATGCATGCCTGACATTCCAAAAGCTATAAACATTTACATTGAAAATTGTGAGTATCTGTGAGCACTTTTATGAGATAATGAGATTTCAGTTATAAGACACTTCCCATGGCATTTGCTGCCTATCAGACCACAACTGTCATTTACATATCAACCTTCAATATAACAATCACTTACGTATCTATCTTAGACATTGCTGTAGAATGAGTTTTGCAGTAATCAGACAATTCTATCTGGATACATAACTTTTTTATCAATGAATGTATATTCCATGAGAAATGGAGAACATTACTATAGCATTTCATAAGATTGAATTAATCATTTGCAGTATACTAGATTTTTCTGATAAATTTAACTATTTCTGATGGCATTACATAGATGTTTCATACATTTATAAATAAATTTACTTGAAATATTATAATAACCAACAATTTTTTTTGTCATTTGCCTGAAACAAAAAATATCTTGTACATTAAAATAATTATTACATGAACATATATTTTATTTCAGGATCAACAAGACCAAATTATGAATAGTTTATCCAATGAAAAAGAATCAACTCAAAGTAAACATTTTTATGATTTTCCTTTGGATATGCAAATGGATATTTTTGGATTAGATCATAAAAGAATAATGAAAAACTTGATGCAAAAATTGAAAAAGGGCAAAGATTGTAATACAACAATAAATGATGAGTGCAACATCAATACAGATAATACTGAAGTCACATATGAATGTAATAAATCTACAAATATAGATGACTTTATAAAAATTAAAAAGAAGCTTTTAATCAAAAATCAAAAATCCGTATTTAATGATGACAGTGAAACATTAAAGGTAGATGTAAATGACATTGAGGCACAAAATCATAATTATGGTAATGATGATGACATTGATGCAGGTGATGATGATAATGAAATGATGCTTAAAGACTCTGCACTTTTATATGACACATCAATAGGAGAAAATTATGATGATGATACAACAAATGATAGGCATTATTTTCCGAAAACTGAATTTCCTGACAATACATAAATGAATTTAATTTGATTAATTTTATTGAATAAAAACTGTTAATTTCATAAAAGAATTTTGTAAATATTTTTCCAATCAAGACATGATTTATCAGTACTGAAATGTTTAAGTAAACAAGAAAAAGGTTTGTTGAAAAGTCTGTATTTTTATTAATTAGATATAAAAATTGTATTAAATTGTACAGTTGTGTTAAATTAATAACAATAATGTAAAATAAAAATTGAATTTTTATTCCGTTAGTATGTAAATTTTATAAGGTGAAATAAATGACAAGTAATGACATGTGAGCTGCTTTTTTGTTTTTATACCTATAACAGATCAAATGTATTTTTCTTATTTTACACATAAACAACAAACAGCTTTAACTAAAATATATTGGCTTTTTGTCTGTAGATCAAGCCAGTTCAATTGTCAATCATTTAAATTGTATGGACTCAATTATTTTTTATATCGTTCCATTAATTAAAATAGTATTTAAAATATATCAATAAATAAATTATTTATGAGATAACGATTATGATTTGTTACATGCATTTTTTAAATTTTCTTATGCAAAATAGAGCCAGATTGCCACTATGCAGGTGAGGCAATGTATCGAACCCTCGAAATCTCTGCAATATAAATGTAAGTAAAACGAGCAATTATTTATTGTGACATCGTCACAATGCCAGGCTGAAAATTTTAATCATATTCTTAATTTATTTAATTTAAACGTATGTTTTCCATCTCAAATTAGTAGTGTATTGTCCCTGTACATCATACTTTTCCTCATAGCAAAAGAGTCAAGCTGGTCATCTATGTAACTCCATGCAGGGGAAAATATTTTGAATTGAAATCACGTCACTTCCTGTCCAGAGCAGAAGTTCGTATATAGTTAGTCGAGACCTCCTGCCCTAAGCTTTCCATATCTGGTCTCCAGTTTTATTTTTGATGTTCTAATATTCATTCAGAATTTGTAATTTTGTTAGGTTATATTTGTATTTTTTGTTTAAATATAGTGATTCTGTAAATTACATTTTGAATCTTTGTATTCCTAAATTCCTTGTGAAATACTTAGAATACCTAAACTTGAATTATAGTGTACTTGGAATTTACAATAGTTAAAATGCTAATTTGAAGATACTGTATATCTGAAAATTCTCATTGGGCCGGTCTTGATTAATCCGGATTTTCCATGCTTTAACATACATTTAAATAAAACTTTTATTTTTATTTTTTAAATCTCTGAAAGATTCCGATTTATTTTGTTTATATTAGTTTTAAAGATTCATAACTCTGATATTTCTGACCCACTAATGATAACAAAATTCCTATATGAAAATATGACGTTATTCTTTTTAATATTCAGAAGCGAATGGGAGCGGATTATCATTATTAACATGTATAAATTGTTGAATAGACGTGAATAGTAAGTAAAATATACTGTATATAGTCGAAATTCCAATAACGGACCCTGTAAACTGCGACCATTTTTTTCAGGAGCATTTCTTTTGGAAAATGCGTACAAAATAACCTCCAAATAACGGTCATTTTTTATGTTTCGCACTGGTGGTTCTTTAGGGGTTTGATTCTATATATAATTGAAAAATTGATTTATTTATATATATATATAAATTATAATTACAATTAAATAAATTTCTCCCTCAATTGTGTATTCGAATTAATTATTTAAATTAACTTTTAACGATTTATTCACAAATTAAAAAAGACAACAAAACGAATGATGTGAATTTTTAATTTTCGTGATCAGATTCAATCTGAAATATAAATATCCAAATTTATTATATGAAAACAATATTGTTCAAGTCAATGAGATATTTTATTAAAGTCAAACCTCTCTTGTTATTTGAAGAATCTTTATCTTGGCTCAATAAGGAACGACTTTTTTTAATTTTTAACTTCACACGTTCGTATTTAAGATTCAGATTGACTAACATATCATACATTGCTTTATGAAAAGCGAGTCGCTTTTCCACAGATGATTTGATTCTCATACTAAATATAAAAATGAATGCTTTGTAAGACTTATTGCTTTCTACTTTACAAATTGATTAATTAACTCGAGATACCAGAATAACCTATATAATCTGCCACAACTACACTTATTACGTGTGGTCCTGACACGAAATGGAATCGATTAGCATGACCCTCATGCCGATCGATTTGATTGTAAGAACGATGTCTCAATTCAACGTTTTGCTCCTGACAAATTACTAGTTTGTGATCCTTCTATTGTCTTTGATTATAGGAAACCATCTTTACTGTTCGTTATGAAGATTTAGTGTTTGTTCTGTGAGGATCCAAGTTCAAGCGTGGATCGTCAGAAGCATGCTAACACTTTAGCAGACGGCCATTTGACCAAAATGTTACGAATATACTGCAGTTTTTTTAGTATTGCATTCAATAAGATAAATATACTTACTCTTTTCGTACGTATTTCGTTTCGTTAATATTAGATTCGTTGACTAAATCATTTCTTAACGTTTCGAATTCCATTTCCATCTATAAAAAGTATTCATTTGTAATTTAAAAGAAAATTAAAACGTACAGTACGTAATTTGATTATATGTTAAATTGTTCTGATTAAATACATTAATTAATTCGTAAAAATCTCTGCGCGCTTTCATTTCATTTGACAAATATTACTACACTATCAAATACTCGTATTTAAAAAATTAAGATGTTTTTGTGGATTTTCTGATTCATTTTAATAAACTAATAAGCAGCAAAAATTTATTTTAATGAAATTTTAATAAATGTATATATTTTTTCGGTTTTTTTAAAAAACTCTTTTCGCCCTGTGGGCACTAAGAGGACCTCTTTTAGCAAGCCTATTATGGGTTCGGCCAGGCCCACAATAGAGCGGCAGGGTGGTGAGGGATGGGGCCCAATATATCCACCCCGAAGAATTCCTGGGGACTTTTCGACCCATTAGAAATTCGATTCAGGATCCCCATTTTTAACTGGTTGACAATCTGGCCGTCTTTTCCGCCCTGGGGAACTAAGAGTGCGTTTTAATAGTACCCACAATAATTCGGCCAGATTCAGAATAAGGTAGCTGAATGGTAAGGGATTGATCTAGATATATCCGGGACAGACCAACACCCGAAAAATTATTGGGGACCGCCTCGGATTTGATCCCACACTAGAGCAACAGGCTGACACGCTATCGCCTCGGCCATTCTGCCATTTTCACTAACATATAAAAAAAAATATAATTTTCACGTAAATAATGTAAAAATTTGGTTAAAATATGTTAAAAATAGAAAAATAACACAATTTTATTATATATCAGATATTACTGTAACGTAAATTTAAAAATAAAAACATATTTGCAAAACTAAATTTAAAATATGAACCTGATGGAATTTCTTTGAAAGTGTCTGCAACCGTATTTTCATTTCTTTAGTGTTTTTATGAAAAGAAATGCCTCTGTTCTGCCAAAAATATTATAATTTCAGATTAAAATAAATATTAAATCCAATATACAGGAATTACTTTATATAATTCGAAATACTTCTAATCGATCGAGAATTTTAGTTAATTCTTCATTATAATTTTCCATAAAGTTTTGGTGTATATTTCTTAACTAAAGTACAAAACTATAATTAAAAATGTGGCATATATTAATTGAAATAGTGATGTTTATACTAACCACTTCAATATCTTTGAAAATGAATGAGTTTTGGTCTTCTTTTTCGTATTGGATACGATTCAATTCACTGTAGTACCATTTTATCATCTGTTCCCCTATTAATACTTGAATTTTATAGAGACGATAGAACTGTCGAAGATAATATGAATTTTAATATTTGCAAACAGGACTTTTCATATGTCTCTGGCCACTTAACTCTTTGAGGCCCCAGTAGATTAAAAAAAAACAGCCTTAAAAATTATACTTTTTAAATAATAAAATTGGACAAAAAAAGGCTTTTCTTAATGTTCAAGAAAGGCAATGAAATAAATAATCTGAGGACTTTAAATGTGAGGTTCTTTTACGTTCAGAGAGAATTAAAATTATAAATACAGTATTTACAGATTTACGTAAGTCAGCTGCCTGCAAATGTTCTTGTTAAATATTAATTATTATTAAATTTTCTCAAATATTTCAAATATTGTAGCATTGGACCTTACAGGGTTGGATTGGAAATTATTGTATTATTATAAAAAAAATAAGTGAATGTGTTATATAAACGATTGTATATGGTTTCTATAATTAAAATTTAATTTTGTGTTTATTTTTAAAAATTTCTTGAAATAAAAGTAATATTTTAGTAATTTTTGTATCATTCGCTAATATTATCTGCTTCTGGAAATTGTTACTAATATTTTACCAGAGAAACTATTACTGAAATAATTGAAAATAATATTAATATAAGTAAAAATTATGTATTTTTAAAAATCTTTAGTTTTTGAACATAAAAAATTAATAATACAGAATCTAGAAAATTAACTAATTAAAAATTTTACTTAAACTCAATTATGATGTTGAGTACAATGATAAAACTTACCAAGTAACATATAATCATCGGAAATACAATCTGATAGAAAAATTTATAACAATTCCACAGATTTATGGGGATGATTTGATGAAATACGTACATCTTGGAACTATTGTGTCGCTCTTGATCACGCTTCTTTAACTGAATATTTTGAGATTTATCCTCAGTCGGTTCACTGTATGATCCATTGAAAGTATCCATTTCAATATCTTCACTAACGAAAGAATTATTTAAGCAAAAAGTAGTTTCAAAACTGTCATTAAATTCGAGTATATTATTCAGCTGAAAATCCTGTTTTTGTAAGAGTGTAGGTGATTCTTTTTCCTTCTCTTCCTCCTGTTTTTGTAAGAATGTAGATGATTCTTTTTCCTCCTCCTCCTCCTCCTCCTCTTCCTCCTCTTCTTCTTCTAGTAGAAATCTAACATCGAAGTCTTTTATTTTACGAATAACAATTTCAATATTTTTATCATCAGGAATATCATAAAATATGGAATATATTTTATTTATAATACGCTTTTCTAGAAAACACTTGAAATATGATGATTTCCAATATGTTGTTATTCGCAGAATTAGATTACAAAAAGATCCAAAGATCCTTTCTTTTGTTTCATGTATATCAATTTTTGGTGAATTCTTCTCAAAGAATTTTTTAATTTTAATAATCTTGCTTACTAGATTATCGTTCTGATCTGAAAATTTCATATAAGATAAAAAACTTATACAATATTACAGGTAAAATTTCAATATTTTGATAACATTACAAAAGTTAAAGTAAGTTTACCTTCATTATTTTCGGCAAATTGTTTACAGTTTCGATTTATACAATATGTGAAAAGTGAAGAAGTTATAATTAATTTAATAAAATATAACATTATAGTGTGTTAAAATCATAATTTATATAATTGAAAATAAAATTTATATTATTAGTATAACTTAACAATGAATTTTTGCAAAATATTGTTAATTATTAGCAGAGGAAGCTCGAAGTATTGAAAAACGATTGTCCTCAGTTCAAGTCGAACTGAGGACAGAAAACTTTTAAAGGCATCCAAAAATTTAAATTAATAATTTATATAATTTTCAAATTAAAAATTGAATTGATTTTTTATTTATTGATACGCTTTTTATTTTTATTTTCGTGTGACCAAGAGGGCCCTTTTGTGGACACCAAGAGGGCCCTTTTTCATGTCGACTGAGGGTTCGACAGAGATCACAGTGGGAAAGGCCGGGTGGTGAGGAACGGGCACAACATATCCGAGAGAGATTGCTCGTACAAAATTCCTGGTGTTGTTCTTCCGGATTCGATTCCGCTTAGTTCACATTGAACGCTGATTCGCTGGCGAAAGCAGAAAACAGAGCGAACATAATTCGCTTTCGCGCTCAGTGTGAACTAAGCTGTGGGCTAGTTCGGAAATCAGGCGTCGTTTTAAAAGTACCAATAGCAATGGAATTTCTATAAATAATTTAGCTCAAAAAGTCACAATTCCATAAAGGCCTCAATGCAAAATTCGAATTCTTATAGGACATCCGCCATTATTAATTTGTCTCGCGTACCCCAAACCACTAAGAGCGTATCCCCTAGGGGTGCGCGTAACCACTGTTGGAAATCTCTAGTTTAGATCAAAGTGCCTCCATACTAATTTATAAGAGAACAATAGACCAAAAACGACTCTAATCTGTTTAATATGGCTTTTTACAGTAACACATTTCCGAGTGTCACTTTACCCATGAACTACGCTTTTTTCTTTCATCTCATAAAATGTGGCTGGTTTTCGGGATTGCAAGATTGTGTTACGAGTAGCAGATTGAAACATTTGTAGGGTTCTAGGCTACTACTTTTAGGAGACTTACTACTTTTTGGGCCACTTTAAGAATAATTTGGACTACATTCTTCTGCTTTGCTTTTTATAAAACCTGTGAGGTTCTCACGGGACACGTGCTATTTATCTGCAGTTTATTTATATTAATAATAATAATATTAATAATTAATTAACGAAAATAGCGTTTTATGTACATATCCGTATTCCGTTTGCTTAATAAATTACTTAATTTACGTGGCATTTGGCATACTGTACAGAAATATGTAAATCTCGGATAATTCGAAACCTAGTAATTCGAAGTCGCGATTATTTCGTCCCTTGAATTTCAAACTAACGAGGCATTCCTGTATTTATTTAAAATATGTCAATTCCCACTGGTGTCCATCTATCTATCTGTCTTTCGTTAATTTTGAGAATGGGGTTAGATAGATGAATGTCGAGACTGGGTATAGAAAGCTTAGGAGCAGGAGGACCCAGTTAACTATGAACAAACGTCCGGTTTGGACTGGAAGTCAGTGATTTCAATTCAAAATTTTCTATAGAACGTCAGTTAGATGACTGGTATGACTCTTTAATTATCAGGAAAAAGTATGATATACAGAGACAAGACACTACTAAAATCGAGAGCATATATTTTAAATTAAATAAATTTAAAATATGATTAAAAAAATTCAGCTCTGCATTGTGACGATGTCACAGTAACTTGGTCGCGAATTTTAATTAACAAAGTAGAGTAGAAAATTAAATGTTGAATATAAAAAGCATATACTGTATAGCAAAAAACTCCCGAACTATTGTATCCATTCGATAATTACTTTTAGCTTAATTATCTAGTAACATGATGTTATATAGCGTGATGTTCACTGTATTTACAAAATAGTAGAACATGCTGTTTGTTCGAAAACGAAATCGTTTCTAATAAACATTAACTAACTGTTTTTTTTTTGTTTTGTTTTTGGTTAAAGTTATTTACTCGATTTTATTCAGTACAGTAACTAGGCACTAAATATAGTGTCTAGTTACTGTACTGAATAAAGTAAATTTACATAAATCAGTTTTTAAAGATTTTATTAACTCCAAAAAAGCAATTTCTTTAATAAAAACGGAGCTTATTCAAAAATTACAAATATAGATTTACATCTATTTATAAATATTACGAAACTCTGCGAGTTTAGTATGAGAAGAATAGATTTTTCTGATAAAATTAGTATTCTATCAACTCGCATTTCTTTGAAAATTAACAAATACTTTAAGGTACTCTGAAATATCCTAGATATGTATTCTATATATAAGATGCCTAAGTTTATATCTCTAAGTATGGAGGAAAAAGTAAATATTCTTTACATAAAAACTTGAAAGATTAAGATAAAAATTAATACTCCAAGTAATCAGTAATCTTTATGATTTTTTATTATTTTAATTGTATTTTAAGCTTCTAGTATTAATTTTTATTTACGCTTTTTTCTGTTTTTTTAATAATTTTTATATACTTGTCTAAGTATTTTATAGTATATGTTAATGCAGTGGTTCCTAATTAGTTTTTCTTGCGTACCACTTCAAGAAAGAGCTCAAACTCGCGTATTCCTTATAGCAGAAATTCATATTAATCCATACTAATATTATAAATTCGAAGGTAATTCTGTCTATCTGTCTGTTACCTTTTCACGTCTAAACCGCTGAACAGGTTTTAATAAAATTTGGCACAGAGATAGCTTACATATTGGAGATGGACATAGGCTACATTTTACTGGGAGAAAATATCACAAATGCATTTTATTGATGAAATTTCGAGAATACTTTTAGTTATAAATAAACGAATTTGTGCATTCGATATCATGTTGTAAATTGCCGAATTTTTTATTGCTTCATCTCATGCATTTAATTTTTAAATCGAGCGATTTTAGATTGCCGCGCCTACCCCTTCATGCAATTTCGCGTACCCCGAGGGGTACGCGTACCACTAATTGGAAACCATTGTGTTAATGCTTACCTTCGTTACATATGTATGGGTATATTTTCGGGGGCGGATTTTATTTTACCTTTTATAGTGTAGAAGTATAAAAATTTATTCTAATAAGCTTACTTACTTTCCGTGTGAATAGACTATCAGAAAATATTTGCAGAACTTTTTAAAGTTATTTTTTGAATCAGGGGTCCACGAACTATTAATATATACGCTAAATTAAAGTGGGAAGGAGTTTGCAAAAGTACAGTACATCACTGTTCACGACAGGGTGGATCATGCCGAAAAATAGCTTAAAAACTGTACACGTAATTAATTAATGGACGGTCCCTTACGCTTGTCTGAATTAATTTATTATTTTATTCAATTGTATAACCTAAGCTTATTTATTGTATATCTTTCTGTCAAATAACTGTCATCCAACAATTTAATATAAAATATAGAATATTCGCACCTGTCATTTGATAATGCTTCTACAGTCGAACTTCCAATAACGGCCATTTTTCCGGAAACAAATATGCATACAAAATAACTTCCAAACAACGATCATTTCCAACAACTGCCACCGATATAAAAATAACGCGCATTACAAAACTAATCATTTATCGAAAATAACTGGTTTTCACGTTGTTAATAAACTTAACTGTAAACTTAAATATATATTTTTCTTAAACAACATTAAGGACTAACTACATTTATCGTTGTAGACAATCAAAACAATAATAATAATTGTACAAAAGTCCTCTAACCTGCAGAGAACTCGTAACAGTACAAAAATAAATAGACTTTTTATTGTAGGCTACAATTTATGTTAAAATATACAGTACAAGAATTGTGTTTTTTTTAGCTCACCTCCCAATAACGACATCGAACAACGGCCATTTTTTATGTTTCCGTCGGTGACCGTTGTTCACAGGCTTATCTTTAGGTCTATTATGATTTTTACTTTTTATATAACGTCTTAAATTTATTTTTTTTTAAATAATAAAATAAAATGTTTTATCAATATTATAATTATTTAATTGAAAAATGTTATCTTATCTACAAAAAAATACAATGAAAAACTGTCAAAATAGTATCATTCTTAATTTTTTTTTTCATTTGTGTCACCAAATAAAAAAATTAAAAATAATCAAAAATTTATCTTAAGTGACTTTTTAGTATTGAAAATTTCATTAGATTAATGCATTTAAATATACTAACGAAGCTTTTGCGTGATTTATCAAATCCCTAAGGGATATAAACCTATGTATAAAAATGCCCAATGTTTACATGCATTTTCACTTTCTAGTCTTAAAACAGAACATTATTACGCCTCAGCATCTCTAACCATGTATCACTTTACGAAATATATGGTTTTATTATTATTATTTACAGCAAAATGCCAATCAATTTTATACAAATTGAAATTCATTAATAAATTTAGAAACGATTGGGTTTCTGGACATCATTCTGTATTTTCTAGAATCGAATGTGCTACTGTTTGTTATTCTAAGGAGGAATGCCAAGGTTTTGGTTATTATATAGAAAAAAATAACCACAATTGTTTTCTGATAAATTCTCATATTGATGATGAATGCGATGAATGCGACTCAGAAGATGGATTAAAGGTTTATGACGTAAGTACAATAATTAAAATATGTTTAAAAATATAAATATTTATATTTTATAAATAAATGTTATAGGTTGTAAAAGATATAACTACTACTACAACAACTACTGAGCGTACTTCGACCTCAGGTAGAGTTTACATATATATATATTATTTATTTATAAACATTATGCAAAATTATATACTTCTTTCGAGTGAATGATATCGTTTAGTGCAATAATAAAATTTCTGTTTGGCAATAGATTTTTTTACTTAATTGTAAAATACACAGTATTTTTTTCTCTACAACGATAATATTGCAGTAAATTACATTTGAATTAATATTAATGTATGGCTCGTTTTTTAGGAATTAAAATGCGGTACTTTTTTAATATAAAGATTCTACACGAATGCTACCCGCTGCCATTAAGCATCAGAAGAGCCGAGAGCACGGTTGCCAGGTTTAGCGCTTTTTTGGCATTTTAGAATTTTTTGTTTAGAGCTTAAAATTAATTAATGATTTTTTTTTACTTCGTTTAGATCAGTTAAACGTTAGATTTTGAGCAAAATGTTTTGATACATCGAACACTAAACGACTAAAAAAACTAATTTTAATTTTTTACGGAAAGTTAAGCACATTTTTAGGCTCGGAGCTAGCATTTACAGTTGTTTCAAGAAATTATAAACTATAGTAAAATGGTACGTTACGTCAAAACCCGAAATTCGCCAGAATCTGATCTTACTAGGTAAAACTAATTGTAACAATATCTCTTTTACTTTTAGTTAAAATTCCTGTAGTTCAGTGGTCATCAAACTTTGTCAATTTAAGGAACTCTTATGAGTATAAAATTATTTCGTGGAACCCGGGATCATATAGGGGAAGGGAGGGCAGGATGGAAGGCTTAACTTTATGATGTAAAAAAACATAAAACATCATAATATAAAGCTTTTATTTTAATCAGTCTCGACAGAGATCTTAGATGGTTAAAAAACTGTGTAATTAAAAATAATTAATATTAAGCATAAAACCTATTAGGAATCATGAAGTAAAAACGTCAAAAATTCCATCTTGCCCTCACGCTGAAGGCAAGATGGAATACCTAGGATATCCCTACATTTTACAATTGACACACGAAAAACATCCATCTTTTGTGTCTGTACATAGTTCATGTGCCCAACCACAACACACTGGACACTGTAACCAGTCATCTGTGGGCGGTTCCACATATGGTTCTCCACGTAATACACAAAACCTTCATCCATCGCCATCTGCAGTTTCTTCAGTCCAACAACCTCTGTTGCTCTTTCTTATATACTTGTTCACCATCTAGAAACAATTACATCCTCAATTAGTTAGATAAATTGATAACAGAAATCAAAATAATTGCGCTTGCTACATGGAAACTATTTCATCTTGCCCTAAAATGCAATTTTCCATCTTGCCCAAATTCCC